TATATGTATTATTTGAAATGTGAAGTATTAAAATAAGAAAATTTTAGAATTAAACAAATAACTACACGTATGTAATTAATTGACACCACAACATAAGAAATTGTTTTCTTTTAATGACATAAAAATTGGTTTGCTTAAAAACGTTAGATATGATGATAATGAAAGCAAGTTTGTAACAATGGATATATTTTAATAATGAATATATTGATTATAAGTTTGAAGATATGTTTTTTTAATGCCATAAAAATTATTGTTTTTTTTAATATACGTGAAATATTCTAATAGAATATATTACACTGTAAATAATCAAATAAAAATTTAATATATCTAAATTGTTAGATATATTAAAATATTATAATATTCTATTAAAATTGTTTGAATATTTATAATATAATATTCTAATAGAATATGTGAATATTCTAACAGTTTTAATGTAATTTTTATACTAGAACATTCTATTAGAATGTTTACAAATATTTCAAAAAAATGGTATTTATTTATTTATTTATTTTTGGAAAATATAAATAACGAAAATAATATTTTAAAAAATTCAAAAAAATTTAATTGTTTTGCATTTTAAAAGTATTTTTGTTATTTCCAAAATAATGACTAGAATTGTATCCCTATGTCTCATAAAATATAGTGGTCTCAAATGAAACAAAAAGAAGGAAAATGATTGCATAGAGGAACTCTCAAACATTTGTCAGAGTGTCAATATCAATGGTGACTCATTATTTCGATGAATCATTTCTTCGAACATAAGAAGATTATGCAAACACTCGAAATCTCACTTGTCAGATTCCTTTGTGGAAGACAGAATTTTTTCTAAAGAATTCGCCATGATATATTTTATTCATGCATAATATCATGAAAAATGGATGCAAAATTTCGATTGCTACTTAGTATCAACAATAGATCTGAAAAAGTATCTAAAAATAAAAACTTTAGATATTTGTACTCAGTCTAAGTAAAGAACCATGACATATATGTTTGGAATAGATTCCATTTTGAGAGAGTTGAATAAACACGATCTTATTGAAAAGTTTTATACATCTGCCCTTTCTCAACGCATTTCTTTAAACAAAGACTGTTTTTTCTTCTTTTCATATGGTAAATATTTCTTATAACATGGAGTGTGAATCAAATCCATGTTTGAATTGAAATTAAGATATTTATACAAGTTCTTCCCTTCTGAATCAGATGGATTCATATCTGAAAGAGGTTGGCAATAAGTTCTTTCAAAATTGACGATATCATCGATCACATAAGTATCATACAAAATCCCATCAATTGAATCATTTTTTTGAAAAATATGAGACATCTAAGTCATACAAGTAAAGAGATCTATTCATTGATAAGAAAAAGAAAAAACGTGAATGTGGACTTGGACTGGTTTGATGATAAAATAGAATCATGGCTTGCAAACAACGATTCGATTGATGATGGAAAAAGAGAATTCTTGGTTTAGTTCTCCACCTTAACTACAGAAAAAATGATTGATAAAATTTTATTGAGTCCGACTCATAGTGATAATTTCTCAAAAAATGACTTTTGTTATCAAATGATTAAACAACCAGGAGCAATTTACTTACGATACTTAGTTGACATTCATAAAAAGCATCTAATGAATTATGGGTTTAATACATCCTCTTTAGCAGAAAGACGGATATTTAGTGTTCATTATCAGACAATCACTTATTCACAAACTTCATATGGGGCTAATAGTTTGCATTTCTCATCTCATTGAAAACCCTTTTCGCTCCACTTAGCCTTATCTCTCTGTAAGAGTACTTTAGTAATAGGTTCTATAGTAACTGGACGATCTTATTTGGTCAAATACCTAGCAAAAAACTCATATCTTCCTTTCATTACGATATTTCTAAACAATTCACTGGATAACAAGTCTTAAGGTTTTGATAATACCGATGTTATGCTACTATATATATATAATATATATATTATATATTATATAATATTATATAATATATATATATATATATATATTTATTGTATGATGTTTTAAATCAATAACTTTTTAAATCATATAGATATGTATGGCAAAAAAACTTCAATATTAAAAAAAAAAAAAAAAAAAAACTTTTAATTTAATCTAAAAAACCGTTAATAAATATAAATATTTTTAACTTGACTTAACTTTAATGTCCAATAAAGAATGTATAAAAGATTAAATTAAAGTTGCTTAAACATAACTTATACCTCTTACATAATGCATAGATAATTATCTTGAGAGAAATTGATGAAAAACAAGAAAAACTTTGGTACAAAATCTGACGAGGATTAGTGGGTGTACAATAATTTATAAACCGGCCAAATTTTGGAATCTACGAAAAATACACTTTTTTACCGGACTAATGTACATTCTCACCTTTTTCTTAGATAATAACAATGTGAGTGTTATTTATTTATTTTATTTTTATCCATCCAGAAATTTCTTAATCCATAGAAATTTTATTATATTCATACATAAATATAATAAATAAGTTTAAATATGATATCTATTAAACTAACCAAAAATAGAATATTAGTAAATAATTAAAAAAAAAGTCAAGTATTTTTTACTCGAGTTTGGTCGGTTAACCTGAGTTTAGCCGGTTAACCCGATCTAGTACTGTGATCCTCATATATATATATATAAAAAGAGAGAGAGTGTGTGTGTTCAATTGAGAAAAAAAAAATAAGAATGATTCTTTCAATTACAGAAACGTAACTGTGGATAATATCCTTTAACTAGCATCTTAACATAAAATGCATGGTGACAACTTATAAATATGATATAATATCCTTCAATCACAGAGACGTAACTAGCATAAAAATGGTTGAGAATGCTAATCATTTAACTAGCATCTTAACATAAAATACTGCTGACAACTTGTAAATATGATATAATACCCTTCAATCACAGAGACGTAATTGTGGATAATTAGATACCATAGTTGTAACCTAGATTCACTGTCAAAAAAGTACCTCGAATGAACACACAATCATTTTCCTTAGATAAGTTTGATTCATTGATGCATACAGATTGCAAGTCTGCTAGCATTCCACAAGACTGTCTAGAATAGTTTGTGATCGTCATCTATACTCCGCTAGATAACTAGTCCTGGTAGTACAATAGTATACTTTTAGTCGTGGCGTCACACCACTATTTTATCTTTCACACCCTTTCACTATCCAATATAAATTTAACCAATAACTCTGGTACATAACTCGTAACCCGACATGTGATAGCGCCAAAGAACAAAGCTCTACTTTTCGTTCCAATCTCACGTACACATATTATATGATACTACCCACTTATTCAAATTACCTTAAACCAAGGTTCTAAATGGCGTGAGGCGTGGAGTGGCGGCAAGGCAAACCTCAAGCTTAACGAGTCATGGAGAGCCATGACATTTTTCAAGGCGTGATGTAAGGCGGCGATTTTGTATTAATTTAAAATTATATTACCACATAAATATAAATTTATATAAAAATATAACTAGTTTTTAGAAATGTTAGATCAACAACTAATAACAAAAAGTTAAAAAAAAAAAAAAAAAAAAAAAAAAAAAAAAAAAACCCACAATACTTGTATCTCCGATTAGAAAAAACATAACAAAGAACAAAAAATCGTGCCCCAAACGAAAAAAAAAAAAAAACATGCGCCATAACACACCATAACGCACCATGGCGCGCCATATCACGCATTGTTACGTGCTACGCCTAACAGCAACATTATGAGGCTTTTCGTAACAGCGAATGCATGTCTCACGCCATGGAGTGCCTTTTAGAACACCGCCTTAAACTAAGGATACCTTATAAGTCTTAGTTTAAAACTAGACAATACCACAATAGACGTAATCAACTTCCAATATAAATCCATGTTCATCCAATACTATCATAATACAATTTATACATTTAACACAAAATATCATACATTCAGTATATGTTTAATCTTTTAAGTAATAGTACTTCGATTAAGATTGCCATGTAATAAATATTGTATATACATTTAACACATATTTTAGATAATAAGCATTCAATTCACATATAAGCATTTAATTAGTATTATATACTTTTATTAAAAATCATTCTTATGGAAGTAATCATGTACTTACTATATACGATATATATATTTTTCATAGAATACAAATAAAAAGCTTTCAACATGTATTTAATCATACACACACATACAAACATATATATATATATATATATATATATATAATATAATATAATATAATATATACACATTAAAAAAAGAACGTAAATACAACATTTAATTAATTTTTTTTGTATATAAATATGAATTTTCTACATGAATACGTATAATATGAAAAAAAAATACTTGTGGGAAAAGCGTAAAAAAATCATAATCTTACGGGTAAAAACATTAAAAAAAAATTAAGGGTTTTTTTGTGAAGTTAATATAATGGTAATATGGAAAACTTGTTGTCACCAATAAAATGGTAAAACCGAACATTTTTTTTTTGAGTAAATTACTGAAATCGTCCGTGTGGTTTGGTCAAAATTACACGTTTGGTCCCTAACTTATTTTTTGCACTCGGATCGTCCCTGTGGTTTGATTTTGTTGCGTTTTTCGTCACTATGGTTTGGTAAAAAATGCATGTTTGGTCCCAAACTTTATGTATGTAAGGGACGAAAAATGCAACAAAATCAAACCACATAGACGAAAAACGCAAGAAAATCAAACCACAGGGACGATCCAAGTGCAAAAAAAAAGTTAGGGACCAAACGTGCAATTTTGACCAAACCACAGGGACGATTTCAGTAATTTACTCTTTTTTTTTTTTGGAAAAATACGATGGAAAAAACGGACATAAAAATCAACTTTGGGTAAAACTGACAAAAACTTGAAAACTTAATGGTTTTATGCCATTAGCCAATTTATGTACAACAATAATCAATAAGTGCACTTCATCGCGTAATCCAACTATCTTAAAAGTCAGACTCTGTGTAAGTTTTTGATGTCTCCCGAAACAATTTTGTATTATCATTTTTTTTTTTATCTTTGCTCGCATATTCATCAACAAATGTCAACAATATGACATTCTTTGAAGACCATGTAAATGGAAATGACCCTATTAGGTATGATGGCTAAATATTTTATATCCTTGATACATTCTCTTAGTCTCAATAAAAACTACATCCATGATTCCCCACTTTTTATCTTTTTCATCCCGAAGGAAAAGTGGCAGGATATGGTCATTACTGTCCATAATTATTGCTAGGAACTGATGAGTTTTATACAAAAGAACATCATATGTGCTCATGCAAACCCTAAAGCGTGGATCTAAGTTTCTCTATTGTACATACAATTCATCCAAGACTTATGAACCCTAGATCTAACATACATATTTCGAAATTATCATATAAGATCATATCTAAATGATTACCTCTTCAAGAATGGCTTGAATTTTCTTCTCTTGGAGCTTAGAGTCACAAATGTCACTCCTCTCACTACTAGAAAAACAGCCTTTTACGACGCTCATTGTGCGTCGTAAAAGGCTCAGACGACGCGCAAATGCGCGTCAAGGAAGGCCCTATCATAAAGAGAGACGATGCGCTTTTGCGCGTCGTCTATAGACGACGTGCAGTTACGACGCGCGCTTACGACACACAATGCGTATCAAGGAAGACCCTGTCATAAAGGAAGACGACACGCATTCGCGTGTCGTTACCTTACGATGCGCGTGTTAATGACACGCAATGCGTATCAAGAAAACCCCTGTCAAGAAAGGTCATGTCATAAATGAAGATGACACACATTTTTGCGTATCATAATTTTAAATGTTTAAAAAAAAATTATTTATAAATTTACTTATTTTCAAATTAAATTTATATTTAATGTTTCATAGTAGAAAATAAAATATCATATACAAAAAATAGAATCCATTGCATAAATTTAATGTCATACAATTCTATTTCTTACAATATATAAATTTGCATCTAATCTACTATGTACATCGAATTCCAACTAACTAAAGTTGCATCTTGCCTTTCATAATTCTTTAAGACTAATGCTCCAAGCAGCTGATTATATGACTTAGCAAAATTCAACTCCAAGTCTTTACTGTATCTTGCTGATAATGCTGCAAGATTTAAATAAAATTCAACTCTAAGTCTTTACTCAATAATCAAAATCCCAAGAGCAGCATCCATTGTAGAGGCAAGTTCATTTTCAAAACAAAACATAGTATTTATAATGATAAGGATGTGGAGGGTACACTGTAAAAACTCAGACATGGCTATAATGGAGATAACAGGGATAGATATATATACCTTAAACAAATTAGCTTCCAGATAAGATTGAGAGCTGCAAAAAAACTAATATATGTTAAGGTAGTATTTGGAGGATGTAATATGATGACATACATGTCCAGAAGGCTATTATCTATGAGCTTAACCAACACCAAGGGCATTATTGGTAGAAATAATGTTACTATTTGTAGGGTTGATAGGGATAATGTCTCCTCACTTTGTGCATGTACTGAAGCTCCCTGTTGAATATATTATGTTTTTCTATGCATATGGGAACATGGGGAGGCGTCCTATGGGGGTAGATTTGTCATTTGACATACCGGTGACTGAACTGAAGGTAAAGACAAAAGCATTTTCATGAAATTTTTTGTTCATATGAATTCCTTCTACATAGGGCAATTAAGCCAACTAACTTGACTAAGTTGACATGGTTTCTAATTGAAACTAGTTTCTAGATGATGAATGGAATATAAATTCAAGTAGGGTTTTGATGTTTGAACAACAGATATGTTGTTACCTTAACGAGGCCAGGTGGAATTACTAAACATCAACACCAATAGGCCAATGCGCAGCCTTAGCTGCAACATCGAGGCATTGCAGAATTGCTTGCTCTGCCTTAATTATAGATATTGAAAACGCTACACCACAACACAACACAAAGATATTAGCCACTTTTTTTGCATCAGAAAACAAAATGAACTTAACAAACCTCCTATATCGGTTATGGTTCATATGAGGTGAGATATCGCTTAATCGCTTAACCCGCAAAAAATCCATGTCACAAAATATAAAAAATAATAATAATAAAGAAAAAAAATAGCAGGATATCTTCCCTAAAACAACCAATTCTGCAAATATCCAATAACAATGGTAGAACCAATGGTGATCATCTTGCATAATGAAGTGGAGTCGAGGAATTGACATGCCATAAATCATTTATTTCTGTCTGTTAAAATACAACTAAGCAGCTGATGTGTCAAAAAATTTAAAAACTTATGCCACATCATACACATAAGTCATAGCAGGTTGCATGAACCATTGTCCTATTTTGAAACACCATTGCATATTATGTATAACAACAAACATTATTAATCAGAAAAAATGTGAAACATTGTTGTATAAATAAGTAACTAACCCTAAACAATAATTAAGAGTCCCTTATAAGTCTTTAGTAGCATACTAATAACTTCCATTCCACCAAGATTTTTATAACAATTTAGAGGTCACTAGAAATGCATGGAAAATGAAATTCATCATTTACAAGAACCTACTACCATAATACATACCTCAGAAAGAACCATGAGCATCTGATCAATGTACCACATCTTAACAGGGGAAAGCCTACAACACCAATCAAGAAATGTTATTGTGTGTATGATACTTTGAAACTCATCAAAATATGCTATAACAATATTACATTCACCAAATTAAAAGATAAAAATGAAACCTTCAACTTACTTTTCTACAATGGAGCAAATTTTTTCAGTAAGATCTCCCTTGAAGTCATGGTCACTTACATGTAGATAATCAATTAACTCCTTGGTCAAAGGTTTGACATTCGTCTCATTGGATCTGATTTTCATCTTGAGACTGAAACATTTAACAAATCATGAAATTTGATTTAATTAAAACAAAAATTCATACCTTGTTTAATGGGTGAGAAATCAATTGTTGTTCAAGTTTCTCAATCTGATTTACCAGGTCCACAAACTGAGGTTCTTATATGCCCATATCCTGTCAACAAAAGTCATGTATTTTTGAATTAGTTATGAAAAATAAAAGGTCAGTAAAACGCAAATAAAGTTACCTTGACAGGATTAAGTTTTGGAAGACCTTGAGGAAAATGTTTTTGAAGCTCAGGATTCAAAATTTGAAAAACCTTACCAGTCTTGCTATTGCAAATAATGGTATTTCAGATACTATTCCTCTCGAGTTTTGGGGCTCGTGGCCTTCCCGGTTAACATTCCTGAATCTTTCTTCCAACAACATAAAGTGGGAAAGTACCAGATCTGTCATCAATATTTCACAACAATTCAGTGATAGATTTAAGCTCCAACAGCTTTGATGGTCTAATAACTAATGTCTCTTCCACTGTGGCATTACTAAATCTTTCCAGAAACAAATTTTCTGGAGGAATCTCCTTTTTATGTGAGGTTATCCATGGCTTTTTAGTTATACTTGACCTCTCTCATAACTATCTAAGCGGACAAATTCCAGACTGTTTGTGGCATTTCAAAGAACTAAAAGTTCTTAATTTAGAACACAATAATCTGTCTGGAAGGTTTCCTACTTCTGTTGGATCTATGATTAAGCTCGAGGCATTGGATTTATAAAAGAATGATTTCTCCGAATCTGTCCCAGCTTCTGGAAGGCCCGGCTTTTTCACCACATTTACAACCACCCCCACCCCCAATCTGTCCCAGCTTCTCGAACCTTAACCTGAAACAAAAAAATAGACGAATATAACCTTATCATTTTCTCAAGTATTTGACACTGCCCCAAGTACAATCTCAATTTTATGAATAAGTTGATGAACAAACACTTCACTGAGCTCAAACAGTTCTTCATAATCATGGGAGCCATGATGACCTCCCTCCACTAATGACTCATTTGTCCCTTCAAGTGCCACATAGGAATCACCTTTGTGTGCCTGGAACATTAAATAAAATATATAATATGGTCTTTAAATATTAATCAAAAAATATAAACATGATTAAAACAATAAAAAGAACATGACATACTCTGTTAGGATGTGCCTTTAAACTGAAAGGCTTGGGTAGCAGCATCCATGGGACAACAATTAAGGATAGAAGTAGTAGCATAAGCTGTCATTGCCATTGCCAATCAGATCATTTCTATTAGTTGTCACCTTCAATAAACTTTAGATGAATACAGTTTATTTTTATAAAAAAAATAACATTTTTTGCTTTATTCATTAACTTAATTTACTTAGTTTTCTAGTTATACCCGACTGTCTTTTAGCGGAGATGAGTGATGACCTAAACTCTTTGCTATTCAGTGTTTTCATTTTTTATATTACTTTCAAGTTATGATATGTAATTACTTTTGCACCAGACTTAGTATATACTCATATGCACTCGTCATTAACCCAAAATTGCAACATGCATCTCATGATTTCTTTTATGTTGGATCACATTGAAAAGAACAGAAATAAATATTCTTAGCTAAAGATTACTTTATAATAAAATCCGTAACGCCTGTAGATCCAGGCTAGTCAATTTAGAGACGATAAGCATCAAAAATGACTTTTTCATGGAAGATTATTTAGAGGGATTAATCTTAACCAAGTTTTAGTATATGTCACAAGGTTTCCATGCATATAAAGAACGCCAAAATCCGAGTTATAACGAAGAAGTTATGACCTGTCGAAGTTTCGCGACAGAACAGGCACGACCCAGCGTGACCAAGCGAGATAAATAGTGAATTTAAGGTAGATAGATATCTATCCTTAGTGATCTAAATGAGAATTGAAGATCTCATCGATAGTAGTGCAACGACGGAAAGACGGACGGAATCGGAGTTCAGATAAAGGAGTTATGAATTTCGAAGGAAGTTTTCCTGTCCCGGCCTACTAAAAATAATATATAAGTAATATACTTATAATATATTAAAAATAAAGTCAAAATTAGCCAATGGAGTCTAAACGAGAGTTGTAGAGCATAATCTCACCTTCGCGGCGATATAAAGAACGTCGAAAACGGAGTTTGTATGCGAAAGTTATGAATTTCTGAAATTCGGGGCGCGAAACCCCAAAACTGTCAGAGACCACGACGTGGCAAGCAGTGCCACGACGTGGCAAGTGTCCTGACACCTCCGGGAGTCCCCCAGATGCAACTTGGGATGACGCATGCAGTGACGATCAAGCCCACGACGTGGCAAAAGGATCCCACGACGTGGCAAGGGCCAAAATTGCCCTATAAATAGATTTGAAGGGTCATCCGTTTAGGGTTGCTATTTTCTCTCTTCTCTCTCCCGTTTTGCCTCGATTTGCATGCCAGAAATACCCTGAAGCCCCGGTAATACTCCTGAGTCCCGAAGCAAGTCCCGAGATCCCGAAGATCCCGAGAAGTGCGGTTTCCGAGCCGAAGCTCTGTCCACGAGAAGTTCGATTTTTGTAGAGATCTTCTAGATCTGCTGAGGATTACTACTTTTGCAAGTCGTAGTGCTATCCAATCATCTTCTGATCAAGTGAGTGTATACTACCTTTCATAAACACGATAATAATACAAGTATGGTTTGAGTGTATTAAGTTTATTGTTGTTTATATGTGTGAGTGTATAGTTACTTTCTTCTAACACATAAGTATTAAGTATTTGCTACGATATACGTGCTATGTGTATAATATAAAGTTGTTTATATGTGTGAGTGTATACTACCTTTCATAAACACGATAATAATACAAGTATGGTTTGAGTGTATTAAGTTTATTGTTGTTTATATGTGTGAGTGTATAGTCACTTTTCTTCTAACACATAAATATTAAGTATTTGTTATGAAATACCTTCTATGTGTTTATATATTGTTTGTTTATTGAAGATGAGTATGGAATGGATGAACTATATAGGTTTTAATGAGTTAAACTTTATGTATATTTTGTATCTACGAATATGTTGGGTAGGACATGGGTAGATAAGATGCGTGAGTATGGATCAGATCAAGAGGTTAGTTTTAGATCCGTGAGTATGGATTAGATAAAGAGATTGGATTTAGATCCGAGAGTATGGAATAGGAAAAGAGTTAAACTTGTTATTAATCCGGGAGTATGGATTAAGACATAGTAAATTGTCCCTAGTCCGGGAGTATGGATTGGGCACAATTTAGATCCGGGAGTATGGATCAGAACAGGATTTAGGTATAGTAAATTGTCCCTAGTCCGGGAGTATGGATTGGGCACAGTTTTAGATCCGGGAGTATGGATCAGACCAATAGGTAAACTTATCATTAATCCGGGAGTATGGATTAAGACATAGTAAATTGTCCCTAGTCCGGGAGTATGGATTGGGCACAGTTTTAGATCCGGGAGTATGGATCAAACCAAGAGATTAGTTTAGATCCGGGAGTATGGATCAGACCAAGAGATTAGTTTAGATCCGGGAGTATGGATTAGACCAAGAGGTTAGTTTTAGGTCCGAGAGTATGGATCAGGTGGAGAGATTAGTTTAGATCCGTGAGTAGGGATCAGATAAAGAGGAAAAGTTTAGATACGAGAGTTTAGATCGTGTCATTGTGAGGATCGATGGGGTGGGATAAGAGTTGCTTTTTATATGGTGAAATTATATAATTTTGGATGTTCTATTTATATTTATATGATATAACATTGTGGGATGAAAACCCTATATGCTCACCAGGCTCCTAAGCCTGACCCACACAGTTTAATTGTATCACAGGTATCGATACGAAGTTGCTTTGCACTAAGAGATTAAAGGAGATGTAAATCACTAGAGTAAATGAATGTATGTTCTGTTTATGCTTATGTGTCTGTATCGGAACATGAAATCCCGAGGTTTTATTATTTAATGAAAATACATTCTCTTTGAGAAATGTTTTGATAAGTTTTTATCATATCTTGTTTTGGGAACAAATTCCGCAACCGTTTTCTTTAAACGATTACTCTGATTTATAAAACAAAGCATAAACAAATCGGTCTTTTCTGGCCGTGAAATTGGGGATGTCACAGTTGGTATCAGAGCATTAGTTTAAGCGAACTAGGAATTTGTAGGAAATTTCTAGACTTAAACTTAGAATGCTAAGTAATGATTGTGAGGAGTGTGTCTAAAATATGTTAGGTAGTACACCTAAATTGACACAAACACTAGTTTATTTTAGGAATGATGCCTAAAATGCTTTAAGTGGTAATTGTTTTGTGTGATAGCTAAATTGATGCTATTATTTGTTCGGATCTATGGTATGTTGCCGACCGGATCTGGAAACCTTATGTGTTTAGGATTCTAAGTGTACAACTACGAAATTAGAACTAGCATGTAAACGTTTCGTAGCGATTAAGAGAGTCATACGTTTATCGTAAATAAAGCTTTCTTATCTTAAATTCTCGCTCAGTACACTGAATGCCTGCTTGGGTATACAAGAGGTCATGGTGAAGACTCATAGAGAATTGAGTAAATTGAGGAAATGAAGAAGGCTTATGATATTGGATGACACCTATCAGAAGATATCATAAGAGTGGTATCTTGCCTTTAGAGTATGTCTTATTAAATACAGTACGTTTAGAGGAGTACGGTACGTCTGAAGTACACTTTCGATTGGCAGGATGATGGAACGATTGATGAAATTCTTGAAGTTGTTTTATCGTTTGGAATTTCCATCACCAGTCGAGTTGAAGTAGAGTTGATGATTGAAGATTGGGCAATGAAGAAGTCCTAGTAGAGTCTAGGGAAATTGTTTATGATTATTTGGACACATTCTTATGTGTTAAATTGTTTTGTGATTTTCTTGTATGGTGACTTGGTCGACTGCGGGACAATACTTGGGACGAGTGTGAGTAGGTGTGAAAGGTAGTAGATGCATATACTACCGGAAGCACAGGACTCACACTTGGATCAGGGAAAGTCACAAGGATACCAAGAAGCTAGTAATTGATTCCACTTTATTCTGGTATGTCATTACCATTGTTTCGGTAATGACTAGTAATATGGTTCTTTTTCCGACCCTAGTGGTCATATTTAAATTTGAGTTCGACTACGAGGAGTATGTTACGTGGTCTAGAGGACCAAGTTAGATGTAACATCTGACTTAAGTCAGAAGGTTGAAGTTATTGCGATTGATAGTGTCGCGCTCGTTGTTAAAAGAAGTTTACAGATAGAAATGCTACATGCTGAAATGTGATTATATCACATTATAATATGAAGGAAGGTATATTCCATTTTGGAATTTGACTCTAAGAGACTTGAGTCAAAGCATTGCATCATCCGATGAAAGGTCATTAGAACATAACCTATCGATCTGTTACAATAGATAAAGGAAAGTAGTTATCCTCAGAAGAAGAAGGAGTCCACAATAAAGACTTATTTGGTAACTTGAAGGTTACGATTGAAAGTACAACATAGTACGATAAGCAGATGCAAGATTGGGCATCTTCTGCGGTCAAGAAAGCCATAGAGTTAAATACTCTTTCAAGGAAACATAGAAGTTACGGTTATTACCTAGGATGAATAAATAACGTGTGGAATCATTATGCAAGTCCTATTTCGTTGATGATTCCGGGACGTAATCATCCTAAGGGGGAGATAATTGTAACGCCTGTAGATCCGGGCTAGTCAATTTAGAGACGATAAGCATCAAAAATGAATTTTTCATGGAAGATTATTTAGAGGGATTAATCTTAACCAAGTTTTATTATATGTCACAAGGTTTCCGTGCATATAAAGAACGCCAAAATCCGAGTTATAACGAAGAAGTTATGACCTGTCGAAGTTTCGCGACAGAACCGGCACGACCCAGCGTGACCAAGCGAGATAAATAGTGAATTTAAGGTAGATAGATATCTATCCTTAGTGATCTAAATGAGAATTGAAGATCTCATCGATAGTAGTGCAACGACGGAAAGACGGACGGAATCGGAGTTCAGATAAAGGAGTTATGAATTTCGAAGGAAGTTTTCCTGTCCCAGCCTACTAAAAATAATATATAAGTAATATACTTATAATATATTAAAAATAAAGTCAAAATTAGCCAATGGAGTCTAAACGAGAGTTGTAGATCATAATCTCACCTTCGCGGCGATATAAAGAACGTTGAAAACGGAGTTCGTATGCGAAAGTTATGAATTTCTGAAGTTCGGGGC